TGTGTATGACTGGCAAAGTGGCATGGCGCATTGGGGAGAAACGCAACGGTACGGGAGCATGGGCTTGCAGCAGCGGCAGCAGCAGGCGGCGCCCTGCTGTGCCAGCTGCGAGACAGCAACTGAGTCTTACACTCTCGCTACTTCATTCTACTCACAACTGCATGATTGATTGCGCTTATCATGCCTTGATCGATCGACTAGTCACCAGCCATGCCTGGCTGGCAGCACTACAGCACTACCTTTGTGCGACTATATAACCGGAATGCGGGTCATTCCGGGGCCTTTCTCTCTTCTTTGTAACTGACTTGACTTGACTGGCCGCAGCCGGGCTCCGGCTGCTACTAGACTTCGACTAGACCCGCTGCCTGCTCTTACAAATTGGTGCCCGCAGTGGGGCTGTGCTTGCGCTTGATCAGAAACCGACCTCGACCACCTCGAGCTCGGTCAAAGGACAGTTACGACACTTGACCGGTCACTAACTGCTGTGCCTGCTCCTGCCTGCCTCATTGTTGAGTGAGCAAGCCCACACAGCGCAACACAGTCACAAGAACCCACACACCAGAGAACATGGACCCGGCGCAAGCGGCGGCGGCGGCGCAAGCGGCGGCGGCGGCACAAGCGGCGGCGGCGCAAGCGGCGGCGGCGCAAGCGGCGGCGGCGGCGATGAACGGCGCACCACCCGGCGCACAACCTGGCGGCGGCGGCGGCGGCCCAGGCGGCATTGACCCGGCGCTGGGACAAGTGATGTGGGACATGATCAACAACCAAGTGGCGGCGGCATTTGCGGCGCAGCCACCACCTGCTCCGGCGGCGGCGGCACTACCGCGGGCCAAGACACCCGTCCCTCCACTGTTCAACGGCCACAGAGACAAAGAAGACGTAGATCAATGGCTGTTCATAGTACACAGTTATCTCAACTCATGCGGCGTGATCGACGATGTGCAGCGGATTGAAAAGACTATACCCTACCTACGAGAGGCGGCTTTGGCTTGGTGGCGCAGTCTTATCCCAAACAATGTACCCGCAACGTGGAATTTGTTCTGTCAACAAATGCGGCTAATGTTCCAGCCCATCAATCCGGCTGAGACTGCACGCGACCGGCTGGCAATTCTGCAGCAGACCGGAAGTGTCCGGAGCTATGTCACGGCCATACGCAACACGGCATTGCTCATTCCTGGCATACAAGATGCTGAGATCAAGGATCGCTTCATTCGCGGCCTGAAGCAGAGGACCCAGCAGGATGTCCGGATGCGTGCACCAGCCACTTTCGAGGCTGCAGTCGAGATGGCAGAGCGGTTTGATGCCCTGATGTATGATCGCTACAGGCAGTCCAAACCTTTTGGGCAGACCCCCGGGCCACAGCCAATGGAACTGGGGGCGGTCATGCACAACCGGCACAACCCTGCAAGCGGCAACCGCTGGGACAGGCAGCAGCCATCCAGCTTCTCTCCAGGCAACAGGAGACAGCCAGATCGGCCCAAGTTGACACCAGAGCTGAGACAGCAGCTGCTGCGAGAGGGCAAGTGCTTCTACTGCCGCAAGACCGGCCACATGGCACTGCAGTGTCCGGAGCGGCGGCAGCAGGGCAACCCAGCCCGGCGGTGAAGCCACATGCAGTTCCCTCACTAGCTGCTATTCGCAGCTTTGTGGCGAACAGGGAACAGACTGGAGAACCACTGCCTCCTCAACTAGCAGTCACCATCGATAATAGCAAGACGGCGGCAGGACTTTTGCACTTCCGTTCCAAAGTCGGGAGATGCGACGCCACCCTGCTGATCGACTCTGGAGCATCTTACAACTTCATTTCTAGCAAGTTTGTCCAGAAAAACTAGGGGTGAGCTGTTGAGCTGGCTTGGGCGGGCGTCGCTGGTGTGAAGGCAGCAAAGCAGTGTGCAGAGTCTCAGATGGGAAGCAAGCGAAGTGCACTCCTGTGGGAGGACTTCAGATGGTTCAGAAAGCAGGGAATTGCGTCGAGTAGCGGCCATGGCAGGGCGAGGCGAGCAGGGCTGCACGCTCGGTGGTGGTGACGGCGGCGGCGCCGGCGGCGGCGCCGGCGGCACAAGGGTCATTTAGTGAGCCCCGCCGGCCGCCCCCGCTCTGTACCAAATGACGAGCCTGCTCATGCGGATAACGAGGCGACGTGCGAGAAGCCGTGCTGCAAGGGAGTAGAAACGGGCAGCAAGGCACGCACCTTTGCAGGGTGGGTGGCGGCTCCGCAGACGGGTGGCAAACGAGGGCAGCAGTCCTGCGAACAGGGGGAGATGCGTGCATGTGTATTGGCATATGTGCTGAGGTGTGGTTCGCAGCATCACTGTGAGCGCGTGGCAGGCTGGCATTGTTGCAGCCCAGGTTGTACACACCAGCAGCACAGCACAGCCCCACGAATAGAATGGAAGAGAGCGGTGCCCAATTTTGGGCAAGCAGGCTGGTGCACCGGCGCGGGCTGTACACACCAGCAGCGCGGTCGTGCTGCCGGGTGCGTGCACGACCCGCTCGCAGCCACGCTTGCGGCGCTCCCGCCGCTCAGCCCTGGCGGCGCTCGCGCGCACGGCGGCTCTCAAGCGAGGCAGGCGGCATGCACGCTTGCGCCAATGTCAGCCCTGAGCGGCCCAGGGCAGGGCTTGTCCACCCCCTTCAACTAGCAGCAGGGAACCGTAGCAAACAAGCAGCTAGGCTCGCACCTTTGCAGGGTGGGTGGCAGCTGCGCGGACGCGCGGCAGGCGACGGCAGCAGAGTCCTGCACACATGGGGTAAAGCGGAGCGCGCGTGCGTATGCGCATATGTGCAAGGTCAGTAACCGCAGAATTGTCGGCGCAGCGTCACTGTTTGGCACACCGGGTGCCGCCGGTTCGAGAAGCCATGCGGCATGATGGTGCCGCATGCCCAGTCAAGCGGCCCTGAGCACGGCCCCGATCACAAAGCTGTGTCATTAGTTCACTCGCCACGTGCATCACAAGTGCGCCGTGCGCGGCACACTGCCTGGCGGGCTCCCAGCAGCAACCCAAACACCCTGCCAAGCGAGTTCTGGTTCTCTTGCCTACCTGCGTAGTGCAACGTCTCACGTCGTTCTGGCCGGAATGGCCCCGAAGTGCGGAAAATGTGGCGGACTCGCTGCGGGACGCCGATTTACAGCGGATCGGGGGGTGATGACGTGGCGCAACGAGAGAGCAGAACGGCTCAGATGTCTCCAAGGCAACAGCCTAACAAGATGACTACCTACCAGATACATGGGCCTACTGTGCAGCTGGCTGATGGCACTCCGTACCCCATTCAAGAGACCATCCACACCAGCCTGCGCATTGGGGCCTTCCTGACCAAAATAGAGGCCTACGTGTTACCACTGGAAGGCAACGACGTGATCCTGGGAGCACCCTGGCTACATGCACACAACCCTACCATTGATTGGAGAAACAGGCACATTACCCTTAGCCAAAATGGGCAGCTGATCACCCTACGGCCTCAAGACCCACCGAAACTGCACCAGACTAAGTACCTCACGGCACTACAAGTATGCCACGGCATGCAACGCGGCGCTAAGCTGTTTCTTGCTGTGGTACGGGCACAACCAGAAGAGGAGCCACCAGATATCTCTGAAGGGGACGACACCAATGAGTCTTACCCAACAGCGGCAGCAGATTTTCCGGACGGTACCGACCGTACCCCAAGCACATTTTCTCCTCAAGAACAAGAGCTGATTGACCAGCATGTGAAACGGCTGAAGAGCAAGTACGCAGCCGTCATGCCTGATGAGCTTCCTGACCATCTACCACCATCTAGGGGTAGACATGACCACAAAATAGAGCTCACTCCAGATGCCCAGCCCCCAAACCAGAAATATTACCGTCTGTCTTACGAGGAACAGGCTGAATGCCACCGACAGATTGAAGATGGACTCAAGAAAGGATTCATTAGACCCAGCACTTCACCCTGGGGCAGTCCAGTCCTGTTTGTGAAGAAGAAGGATGGCACTATGAGAATGTGCATCGATTTCAGGGCTGTTAATGCTTTGACCGTCAAGGACCGGACCGCCCCTACCTCGCATCGATGAGTTATTGGACCAGATCAAGGGCAGCATCTTTACATCTATAGGCCTGCGAGCCGGCTACAACCAGATCAGAATGAAAGAGGACAGCATACCAATGACTGCCTTTAAAACTAGATGGGGACTCTTCGAGTACACAGTCCTGCCCTTCGGGCTGTGCAACGCACCAGCTACCTTCCAGACCCTGATCAACGACGTGTTTCGAGAGTACCTTGATCAGTGAATGGTGTGTTTTCTAGATGATATACTGATATACAGCAATGGCGTAGAGGAGCATGCTGTCTGTCTGTCTGTTACACCCATAAGGAGCAAATGAATGCTACGGGCCCAGCTGTGGTGCAGCAGCTGGAAAGGTGAAGGCACCATACACAAACGGGGAGAGAGAGAAGGGGGGG